TATATATGTGTGTGTGTGTCTGTGTGTGTGTCTGTGTGTGTCTGTGTGTGTGTGTCTGTGTGTGTGTGTGTCTGTGTGTGTGTGTGTCTCTCTGTGTGTGTGTGTGTGTGTGTGTGTGTGTGTGTGTGTGTCTGTTATGGGAACATCTAGCCACTGAGCTACATCCCTTGCTCCTGTAATATCATTTAAAAATGTCCAAACATGATGGGTGGTAGTGGTGCACACCTTTAATCCCAGCGCTCTGGAGGCAGAGCCAGGCAGATCTCTGTGAGTTCAAGGCCAGCCTGGTCTATAGACTGAGATCCAGGACGGGCACCGAAACTACATAGAGAAACCTAGTCTTGAAAAACCAAAAAATAAAATAAAGAGCTTTATCAAGTGAACCCAAATTTGCTCTGTTGTTTTGTTTTCCTTTACCTTTCTTCCATTATTTTGTTGGTGTTTGTTTTGTTTTTGTTTCTCTCTTATGAGGTGGTATCTTATACTGTTGTCCAGGCTGATGTTCACTCCTGATAATTCTCCTGCCTCAGCTTCCAGAGTGCTGTTGTCCAGACATGAGCCACCATGCCCAGCTTTGTTCTCTGTTCTGTGGCATGAGAATCAGCATGTCCATCACCACAGTGTGAGGTGCTTTGTGTCAGCAATGAACTAATGGTTAGACTGTGTCAGAGAAACATGGAGGGGTCAGAGCATCATCTGACTGCATGATTTGGCTGGGCACTTGCTTTGTTAGAGAAACATGTCTGTAGGCCAGGGGTACAGCTCAGTCATAGATTCCTTGCCTAGCTTACACAAGACCTTGGGTTTGATCTCCTGAATTGCAGTATAGAACAAAAATCAAATAGGAATGTGGCACACACTTGTAATTCCAGCATTTGGAAGGTTGAGGCAGGAGGATCAAAAATTCCCAGCCAGTCTGGGACTTGAACATAGCAAGTTCAAAGTCAGCCTGGGCTACACAGTGAGAACTTGTCCCAAACAAAATAAACTTGCCTTGCACATCCCAAAAGAAGTAAGAAGACAAGCCTAGTACCTTCCAAAGGTCACAGATGGGGTCCAGTTAGTCTGAATGTTTAATAAGTCTAAAAGAATTTCAACACCAGACTTCTCATAGGAGAAGTTGACTCTGCATTTCATGAAGCCAGCTAGTGTGTCTCCCTTGTCCACTGTAAAGTTCCTGTTTATACTTCTCACTTGATAGTGCTTATTGGATAACTATAGAATGGATTTAATTATGATACACTGACAATTGGCAATTGCTGTTCAAAACAGTGTTCACCCACAGGACCATGTGCTGCTGAGTCAGAGAAGGGGTGGTGTCCATTACCGTGACCTCTGGAAGTGTGTAGTGACTCTGAAAGGCAGGAATCTCTTCTGCAGAGGACTTCAGGTTTTGAAGAAATACACAGCTAAACAGAGGAGATAAAGTCACAAAATAGTTGCATATACTTAAGTGCTTGTGTTGGGTTTTTATTAAACATGAAGATCTGGGGCCGAGACTGAAGTGGAAAGCTGACAGTTTCAGGGATTCTGTAGTGTTGTTTTGTATATGACACACAGACTGTGGCTTTCAACAACACCAGGAAAGTGGTTGTAAAGTAATGGTAAGGACATCCGGGGAATGTGCTGGAATGAGCGCATAGTTAGTGTCTGTCCATGAAACAGCTACAAGAAGCTTAAAGGATAAAACACAGTTTCCCAGCACTGTGGGAGTGGAGGCGAGGGGATCACTGGGGCTTGCTGGATGCCAGCTTAGCTCAGGTTCAGTGAGAGACCCTGTCTCCTGGGAACAAGATGGGGACTTAAAGAAGAAGATGCTCCCGGGTGGTGGTGGTACGCCTTTAATCCCAGCACTAGGGAGGCAAAGACAAGCAGGTCTCTGAGTTCAAGGCCAACCTGGTCTACAGAGTGAGTTCCAGGACAGCCAGGGCTACACAGAGAACCCTGTCTTGAAAAAAAAGGAGGCTGGGTTGTTCCATGTCTCTCTTTGGCCTGTATATAGTACATACAATATAAATACACGCATATACTCATAAACACACATTTACAGAAGAAACAAAGTAATAACAAATAAAAATTTTAAAGAGTAAAAAATGAGAAAACTCGAGATTCATAGAAAGGACAACAAAGGACAAAACCCATATCAGATAGCTCACAACCTCCTGTAACTCTAGTTCTAGGGGATCCAATACCCTCTTCTGAGCTCTGTGAGCACCAGGCATACATGTAGTGCACAGAGATAATTGTAGGCAAAACAGCCATGCACATAATATTTTAAATTATCAAATATTTAAAAAAATAAGTAAAGGGAAAAGAAAAAAGTGACCATTGCAGTCGAGCATCTTCTAATTTCAAAATTAGATGGAAACACTCCATTTATTTCTTTATTTCAGTTGAGGATAGGTCTTGCTACATAGCCCTGACATGTGATTTTAAAAGGACAGGAACTAAGGAGAACTCAAGGGATATAAGAGAGGGCGATGGGGGGATGGTGGTGACCATGATTGGAATACACTGTCTCTATATATATGTAAAGGTCATAATGTTTGTATATGAAAATATCATTATTATTATATATAATTAATGAATGTTAATAAAACATTTAAAAATATTATTAAGGACTTGGGATACTATTACTATTCTATCTCAAGACAAAATAATTATTTAAAACTTTACAAATTAAGGTGGGTGGGTACTAGCACATGTGTTTAATCCCAGCACTTGGAAGGCAGAGACAGGGGGAATCTCTGCAAGTTCAAGGCCAGCCTGGTCTACAGAGTGAGTTCTAGGACAGCCAGGCCTACACAGAGAAACCCTGTGTCGAAAACAAAACAAAACAAAAACAAACAAAAAAAACCACACATACAAAAACAAAACAAATAGAAAAAAAGCAAAAAAAAAAAAAAACCCCTGATATATTTAAAAGTCAAATATTAAACTTAAATTTTTCTAAGGCCAAAATGATTTAGTACAATTTCAGGCATGCATTGCGTGCACACAGGACACAACTGTGGAACTGAACAAAGACCACAGAGACACCAACACCGATTTTCATGCCTTCAAAGGGATACCATAGCAAAAGATATTTATTTCTCAATTACAAGTGCTGGATTTTTAAAGTAGAGTAGATTTCAGATAATTCATATTAAAGCATTTAGTATAAAACAAAGCTATGTTTTTCTTCCTCTAGCTTTCCAAGAGCTAGGATTCTAAATGTTTAACACTATGCCCAGAAGTACTCACTTTTCAATCTGTATATATTTAATCTCTGAAAATATATTTTAATTTCTAAGTGAAAACAATAAATTTCATTTTGAAATTGAACTTTTATACAGTTTTTTATGTGTAGAAAAGAGATAAAAATTAACTTGAAGATTGACAGAAAAGGGGTCAGAGTAGCTCAACAGTAAAAGCTTGCCTCGCATGTCCAACTCACTGGTTCCCTCCCCAGCACTGGGAAAAAAAAAAAAAAACCACTTGGAACATCCTAGACAATAGCAATAGAAAACTCTAAATTCTAGAATGAGGAGGACAGAAAACTAGCTTGCAATCAAAAGAACCAGAAAGGCATGGAATTGTTAGACATGGTGGTACGTCTCTGTAGAGCCAGCACTCAGGAGACTGAGGCAGGAGGATCATGGGTTCAAGTCCTACTGTGCTGGATAGCATTTTTAAGACAGTCCGGGCTCATAGAGAGACCCTGTCTTTAAGTGTGTATATGCACACAACCAAAACCAAGATCTAACTCTGATAAGATAAAAGCTAGACAGGGAGTGTCTTGGGAGGAAAGAGATGAAGCTATAAGGATGCATCCTTCACAACAGGAACCAGAGGAGGGGGCAGATCCTATCCACAGGGAAAACATGGACAGAGAGGGATAACTATTGAGGTACATTCCAAGTCAAGAGAATTCACCGTGCTCACTTGGGAAAAAACTTGGTGTGATCTTTTAATGGGTCGTCACCTTCCTCCCATTTCGACATACATCCTCCACAGGAAAAGCACCGGACAGTGTCGTTTTTGCCTAGAATGAGGGAATATGGTCAGTTCAACAGCACATACACCTGTCAACTCACAAGCGGATAATAACTCCAGATTTCACTAGTAAAATCCTGTTTGCAGCTCCAATTGGATTGTGTGGCAAAGTCACGCATGGATCACTAGGGGGCACTAGTTCACACAGGACTCTTGGTCCTTCAATGGGGTGTTCAGCAATAGTCACTGAATGTTCCTGTGCACTGTGTGCTCTGATGAACACCCTCTCGAAAACTCATCCTGGAAGATTTGCCATCAGAATCTGGAACAGAAGATCAGTGAGAGCAGAGATTTCTGTCTGATTTGGACACCAGTGACTTTTACAGACACAATCAGTAAGCATTTGCTTAAAGAATAAATCAGAAAGAATATACTTGTTGGGGGGTGAGATGGAAGAACACATTTAGGCATCTCTATGCTAGCTAGATTATGAAGAATCCCTTGTCTCTTCTCACATTATTGCCAGCTGTGTTTCATTAGAAATAGGACATGTCATCTTGAGACTTGAGGAAGGCAGCCAGGAGGACACAAAGGGTCCAGACCGTGTGGTGAGGTCATTTGTGCCAGTGGAAGATGTCTGTTGGTGGAGTGACTGCAGAATCCACATGTTCAGAGGCTGAGCTATGGAATTTGAAGGTCTTGGGGGGTCCCCAAGGAGATCCATGACAAATGGTGGAGTGTGAAGAGAAAGGCAGGAGCAGGATTAGAGTGTGTGCTGGGCACAAGATACTGACGAGGTACCAGAGAGAGGCTGAGCCGTAAGGTCACTTGTGGCTCTGCAAAGGAGTCGGGTTGGGTTCCAGCAGCCACATGATGGCTCAGTCATTTATAACCCCAGTTCCAGAGGACCCAACACCCTGTCTGGCCTCTGAGGGCGCCACACAGGCTTGTGGCAGGCACACATGCAGGCAAACACTCATACACACAAACATAAAATAAAGAAAATACAAAGCTGACTCACCTGTGTAGAAAAGGCCTGCTCTGACCAGAGCTTCAACAGCCCCAGGGGACTCATGGGGCCAGTCCTTAAAGGTGTCCAGCCTTAGTTCTTCATTAGCGAAGATGCTGTCATTGCAGTAAGCTTGAAAAACAGATGTAGATGAGAGCAGCAGGCTTTGATCGCAAAGTTCAAGTTAGCTGTGTGTGCAGGTGGAATGATCTGGTGTACTTGCTTGCGTCAAAATAATTGAGGGTGGCTAGAAAAGCATGAAGTCCCCTCACTGTAGTGTGAATATTTCTTAGTTTCTTCACAGTGTGCTGTGCCATTTACAAACACTTTGGGGGACTGGGGATATAGCTCACTTTGGAGAGCACTCTCTTGGCATTCAGGAAGTCCTAGGTTGGTTCCATCCCCAGCACCTGAGAAGCTCTGTCTCAGCACTCAGCAGGAGGGCCAAAAGTTCAAGGTTCATTTGAGTTTGAGGCCAGCCTGGGATAGGAAGGACCCTGAAAGAGCTTCCAAAACATTTTATCCAAGGTTTTAGTTGTTTTCAGGGAAACGTCAGCTATGGCTCCGCCTGTACTGTGGTTAGCTGTGCTCACCTACACTCAGAACTAAACCACTTCGCAGACTCTGTGGTTTAGATGTTTGCCGCGAACCCTAACAAGCTTTTAACTAATTCCTGGAACTCTCATGGTAGAAGGAGAGAACCGACTCCTCTAAGTTGTCCTCTGACTTTTGCACCTTCACACATGGGACCCATGCATACCCACATACAATACAAAGAAAAAAATGAAGGGAAATTTTGAAAAGTTTACTTTTAAAGATTTATTTATTTTTATTTTTCATATAGGTATGTTTTCTGCATGTTTGACTGCACCACATGGGTGCAGTGCCCCTGGAGGTCAGAGGAGGGCACTGGATCCTCTGCAACTGGACTTGCAGAGTTGTGAGCTGCCATATGTGTGCTGGGAACCTAACCCCAGTCCTTTGCAAAGCAGTAAGTGAGCTTGAGCTCTGAGCCATCTCTCCCACCCATAAAGAAAAACAAAAACAAACCAAAGTCCTTCCATAACAGGGAAATCACTTATGAATCTAATTTTTAAAGCAAGTTGATCAGGGCTGGAGAGATGGCTCCGTAGTTAAGAGCACTTACTATGCTTCCAGAGGACCCAAGTTCAATTCCGAGCAATCACATCAAGCTTTCACACATGCCTGCTACTCCAGCTCCAAGGGATCTGATACCCCCCATCTGACTTCCAAAAGCACCTGCACACATGTGGCACCACACAGACATGGGGGTGTGGGGAAACACAGGAAAGGAAAGAAAGAAGCAAAGCATTTGGAATGTGCCTGAGGTTTTACCTGACACCATAGGCAATTCTCTTCTGACCCAGGAATTCACAAAATGTTCTCCCTGA